CCACCACCACTTGAAATGACTGTTAAATAGAAGAAAAGAAAACAAACAAAAAGGAAAAAAAAGAGAGAAAACCAACAACAAAAATATGTGAAATCAGAAAATTAAAGAGACTCGTCAACTTTTTACATTCCTATATTTTAACCCAAATTTGAAGTATTTTGTGGTGTATTATAGAGAACCATCTTAAAGATTCAGAGAAACTATGTCTCGTTTGTTAAAAAGAAAAGAAAATAGACAGTTTTGATTTTTACCGTACTATGAAAGAAGAAGAAGAAAAAAAAGAACACTTAAGCTTGCTATGTTCACTGTTGCGGTTTGATATGATGCAGAGTTGTTTATCTGTCGTGTGTGAGCCTGAATCTGCTTTGTCTCTGTAAATACGTTGGATTGATTTCTGTTCTTTATTTTGCTAATGTTGACAGATGTTACTGGTTTTATTGTAAAGTTGATAATGGTAAATAAATGTTGGGTACCTGCCTGTTAAGTGTCTGTACGGTTATTTTCACCATCCACTCTGGTTCATATAGTCTTCACAATCAGACGGGATTCGGTTTCTGTCGATGTAGAATTTCCCACCTACTCTGTACCAGGATCCTTTTCCACGATGAAGTTGAGACCAATTTGCTTGGAAGAAGTAGTATATAATCATCTTTAGGACTGAAACGATGAATCTGATTAAGCATGATCAATCAGATGACTCGTGATTAATCAGATTAATCGGTTATCGAAATAATCGTCGACTACTTTAGTAATCCATCGATCATTAACTGGAGTAAACAGACTCAAAAGAATGCTAATTGCTGACTGAACAACATCCTCACAGCAGTAATTGAGTCAAAACTGTGCAAAAACTTAAACATTTTGAATTTAAGATAAAAAGAACCCTTCTTTGTATGTAAATATGGATGCAAATATGTTCTAAACAGAACTCCTCAAATGGCATTGTTATAGCTTCACCTGATTCAAGTTCTGTCAAACCTGAATTGAGCAATCCAACTGTTAATTAGATAAATGTTAAAGTCTGCAGAATTTGACTTTTTTTTTGTTTTAATCCGAATAATCAATTACTAAAACAATTGTTAATTGCAGCTCTAATTGTCTTGAAGCTCCTATCTAAAAAACATAACCTCAACTTTGACCAAAATTTAACATTTAATACACAGGCTACATTTATTGGAACCACTGGAAAAGATGTGTAAAAAAAAAAAAGTCTTAAAAGAAATGTATCTTGAGCATAATCTCACACTGATACTTAAAAGACAAAATCAACTTTTGTTTTGGTGATATTTACTCAGTGTTGGAAGAAAGATCTCACTCTTTGAAATAATTGTTTTTTTTATGAAAACACCAGTGCTAAGATTCTGTTGGCTGAACTTTTTGTTGCCATGTCTTTTTTTATTATTGCTTTTAATCTTGCCGAAAGATCAAATAATGACATATATTTGAGTTTCACAGCTCAGTCGACCATTTTTCCATTTGAAATGTTTTGAAATTTCAACAAAAATTCCAAAGAGAAACAAGCCCACATCACCACAGATCCTCCACTGTACATGGGTTTCTGTTATCTATCCTTTGTTTTACACTGGACTGATTTTGTTGCCAAGAACCTCAATATTTGTCTTATTTTGTAACAAGACAGAATTTTTATTTTTTTTTCTGGTATCACATCTAATCATTGATATGGAGACTTGAGATTATCAATGGCTGCCAACAGATTGGTCACCAGTGATTTTAACAAAAGCAAATATTTTTTTACATTTTTAACCAATAAATACTATTCTTGTCCCCCAAATGAAGATTGGAGATTTTGGACATCTTCATTCCAATTTTTTTTTGTACTTGTATCTGATATGAACTTTCAACCATCAGAGCAATATCTGACTTGTCCCTTTTGGTTTTGTTGGCAATAGGTCATTTTGAGCTTTCAAGCGAGTAATGCACGAACTCAACATGTCTCCAAACACACTTAAAACCACGTGTTTTCATGTGGTTGAGTGTTATTAATGCTAACAAGAAAACCGTGCACATCTAAATCTGGTTGCCAGTGGCGACTATGTATAATCATAGCTTTCTAAAAGCTGGTTGAGCCAAAAGCTTCTTCGCCAATTTCAATCAGGGGATAACGCAGAAATTTATTCAAACGTGGACGAAATGTGCGGCCATGGCATGTTACACACCCGAAACTGAAACAAAAGGAAGGATGGAATGTAACCTTAAAGTAAAAAAAAAAAGTTAATTTACATTTACGTGAATAACTTTTCGAAAAACAAGCACTTTTAGGAGTCGTTTTCTCATATTGCATTCTACTTTTTAGTTTCACTTGAGCAACATCGCCATGAAATACTGCGAATCTTACTTGAGTCAAATTTCTGGAGACTCTACAAACTGTGAGCAGTTCCCCTGAAAAAACAGAACAAACACGTTTCACCCAGAAAAGCATCAGATTCACATCCAGCTGAGGGTGAAGTGAAAACATCCTGTTGCTCCACAGCTATCATAGTTCTAATGTTAGTTTGTTAGTCTGCTGAAACTTCTGTGCCAATATCCCTATATACATCATTTATAGTCACTAGTGTACTGTACCCTATTCTAACATACATTTATATTTACTCTGCCTGCTGTAAGTGTTGGCTTCACATGCCTCATGTTGAAAATGTTATTTTAAGAATGTGTCTGTTGGTGCATTTCGTTTAAATCTTTTTTATTACCCTGGTCTTGAAAATCCCAGACATGTACATCACTGTATGTGTTCAGTTACTTTGTCGTGAATTGGTTATATGTTATTTTATGTGGAAGAAAATGAGCTTGTCTTCTTCCCACTCCTTTTTCGAGATAAATGCACTCTTGTTTATGTCTAAATACATTATTATTATTATTATTATTATTATTATATACAGCATGAATCTGACAGCTCAGAAAACGTCTTGGTCTTACTGTATGGTTACTGACACTGTAGATATTTTTGCATATACTTTTTTTTCCATTTTTACCTACTAATGAGCATAATATGCCGTTTTTTTGTTTTGTGACATGAAATAAAGTAAAAGAAAATCCCAAAAAACATGGAAATGTTTGTCTAATTCTGTTATGCTCAAACAAGTACTTACTATTTAGGTAGCTGTTTTTAGGAAATACGTTTTTTTTTTACTCTTCATGGCTAAGCTTATCCCTCCAGTTGTTGGTGGCCTCTGCAGGCCTCACATGTCACACGTTGTGACGTCTCACAGGCTAAACAGACAAACAGTGATGTGAATTTTGTGTCGCTTCAGCATATTTGGTTCCATTTAACTTGCATTTATCTTTGCTCAAATTGCATTGATTTGCTTGCAGTGAATAGCGAAAGCTTCACCACTGATGCTGCAAGCTCCACTGACCTCTTGACCCCCTGCTCTGCGTTCCGCATCACCCACCCACCCCACCACGCCGCACCCCCCTCTCCACATGGATGGTTTTCAGCCAGCAACCTCCTGAAAACGGATAGCTGAGCGCTGCGCTCCGACTCCGGCTCAACTGACCTATTTCATGTGATATGATGTGCTGAGATCGCATCCAAACTCAGCCTCCATAATGAATGAAAGGAGGAATTTTGGAAGCTGGAGCTCCCTCTTGACTTCTCTGCGTTTCTCACACTAAGATAAAAGGAAGTCTTTTTTTTTCTCTTCTTTTTATTAAAATCTTCAGGCAAATAACCGGCTGACTTGACCATCCATGCCTCTCTCTCTCTCTGTAGGAGGCAGTGTGCTGTAAATAATTCATAGCTGCTCCAATCTGAGCCCGTTTACTGTGCTTTGTCTCGTTTCATTTGCAGAGTGTGATCTGTGTGAGGCCGTCACTTTGTCCATGCTTTCATTTCTCAGACAGCGGGGACGATGTCTGCACACGTTTGGAAGTTGGGTCGCACACGCCTGGGCCTGTACTGCCACCTCTAGTCTGGAATATGTATCTGTACAAAGCTCTGTCACACGAGTTGGATTGGTTGTCATTTTCTTTTAAGGAAGATGCAGAAATGTTATTTAGTCATCTGACTTGGATGGGAATTTGATGGGCAGAGCTGGTGCGTCCTGTTCCGGTTTTCCCTCACCAAACTGCCATTTTTCATTTTTTTGCTCAAGCTCTGCGCCGGCAGCAACGTGGGTCTGTTAGTCACTCTGGTGACATGAATTTTGTTCCATAAGAGAGTGCATTTGTTCTTTTCTAAATATAAAAAAAATTCTCAAAAAACATGAAAACTTCTGAGTTTGAAAAGTCAAAAATTTGCTCGGAAAAAAAGAAAGAAAGACATTTTTAGATTGATCGCAGACATTTATTACGCATAATTCTATTCAGACAAGATTTGGGGAACATAAATAAGGTCAATTGAACCTAAATTGAAATGAATGTTCCTTTCTTCCACAATATGCTTGAATAGGCTTGTCAGTGTTGATTTAATTTTAAGGTCAAACAAGGATTAAAAGAAAAAAACAACAACTGAAAATTGTCTCATGCTTTTATATTCGTCAAACTCTAAACGTTCCACCTCTATCTTGGAGATTCTGGTCTCGGCCTTGCAGGATTTCAGTCCTGGAAAAATTGCCCTTGATGGACACAATCAGTTAAAAAACAATAGATCACTTCTGAAGGGAATTTGTTGCAGAAACAACAATACACACCGAAGGTTTCTGATTTTTCTTCTTTTTTTATTTTTTGCAAACCATTGCAACTCAGTGCTCAGTGTTGGTCTGTAATTAAAACCCTGATGAGTCATATCAAAGTTTGAAAAGGCTTAACAGGCATAAATACTTTTTCAAAATGACCGAGAACTGTAAAATGATATCAGTAAAAGACGGTTTACTGAAGGCGTTTTGGAGAAATACTCAAGATCATTCAAGGTGGAGAGCCATTGTTTAGTCTGGAGCTGATTCCTCGGTGGTCCTCGGTTTGTATTCCGGCTCCGCCCCGTGAGGCGGGTGAGCTGCTGTGATTGGCTGAGAGGAGCTCCGCGCGACGTCCCCCCTGTAACTGAGAACCCGGCAAGCGGGCGAACCAGTGGGGTAACTGGTGTAAAATGGCGCTGTCTCAAGGAACAAAGAAAAAAGTTTGCTATTATTATGACGGTAAATACTTCACTTGGACCTTTTACTCGCTCTCATTTTCAAATGTCCTTCACGGCGTGCGGAGCTTCGGGGTTTTACTTTGCCTGTGTCAGGGTTTTAAGTGTAGCAGCGCCGTCCAGCTCCGAAGCCGGTGTTGGGGAGCTAACGTTAGCTTGCTAACTAGCTTTTTTTTAGCCGTGCTAGCTATTAGCCCGAATTCCGGACCCAGTACATTGTTGTCTCTTCGGCTTCATTTTTTGGTCACTTAATGTTAAAACAACTTTTCCTAAATTATTAAAGCCTCCTATGGAAGTTGTATTTGTGCATTAGAACTATAATGATAAATGGGGACATGAAGCAATGCGGTGATAATCACACAGTGTTCCTCCAATTCGCTAACAACTTCCGAGAAGTGAGGAAGGATGCACTCTGCTGCTTTAATTCGCTTCTTCTTCCAAAAAGAATGTGGGGGAGGATCAAACCTTATGTTATGTGCTTTTACGGGGAATAAGTATCGTTTAAATACCGCCTGTCATTGTACTGTTGTGTATGCGCTATTTTAAACTAAATGAACCCCGCGAATACATTTGCGCTGACGACTGCTTTTTTGTCTTGTTTATAATTGATCGTTTGAATCCAGTTCTTTTTTTCCTATTTAAAATAAGCGGAAAAGCACCGTTCGTACCGAAGCGTCTTGGTCGTTACTTCCGTCTTCCTATTGTGTCGCGTGAACTCATAATTCTGGACGCTCATGAATAATTAAAATGAATCTCATTTGGATGCGCATTTTAATGCTGCTGTGCAAGTAGGATACCCATTTCCTGTGTTATTCGAGATCGGCACGATAAATTGAATTAGGATTGCGATATCGGTGTGCGCGGAATTGTTACAAGAGGCGGCATGCATTTACTATGCTTAGCTGGAAAGTATTTTGGACGTTACAAAACGTTCCCCAACGCAGGCACCTTTGGTTTTCATACCTTTAATTTGTGGTTGGAAATACTTTTAAAGATGAATCTTTTTTCAGCTTCAGTCAGTTGGCTGCCTCAAAACATAAATAAAACCCAAACCGGTTCTGTATTTTTTGATGTCAAACTTTTATTTGGTTTGGAACCCAAAAGTTTGAAAAACGTAGTATATGTTAATTTGGACACTTCATGATGTTCCTTATCTAAAAAAGTGGATTTTTTTTCTTTACAGAACTGTGAGTTGAATATAGGCCTGTCTCGATAAACGATAAATCAATTAATCGCACAATAAATTAAAACCTATCGACCTCATTTCAATTATCGGCTAGATCATTTCTTCCTGCCCTTTTCTCTTACTGTTGATGACACTGAATGAAAAAAGGCTCAACTCCGGTGCTCTCCACTGACCCTCCCTTCTTTACTTCCTTAGTGTAATGCCCAGCGCGCGCTGCACGATCTTATGTCGCGGATTGTCGCCCCATTATCAAAACTTGAGAGACACATTAGCCGACAGAAATCCTAGGTGTAACGGTTCGATTGAACCGTGTTGTGTCCAACAATGGACACAAAATAATAAATCCAGTTCACTAATTTTGAAACCAGGCTTTAATCAATTCCTTTCTACAATCTACCTGCAATGCATGTGGCGAGTGTCAGTCCTGACTGAATGAAAATCATTCTAACCTATTTATGTCACGTTAAGGAAGAACAGCTGAAAAGTTACCAGGTTTTCTGGTAGAAATTTTGCTCCAACTCCTCCCCTAGTTATTTATATTTTCTTTGCACGAAATGATAATATGTTTCCACATATTATGTCCGATGTCTGCTGGACTTTGGGTTGCACCGTGTCAGCTGTTTGGGACTCCCTCGGTTTCCCCTCAGAAAGCACGAGGAGAATCCGCGTTTTCTGGTTGGCTACCGGTCACATTCAACAGGCTGCGTTAAGCTCCCAGTCTGGGCAAATCCTTGATTTAGATCGGAGCGGCCACAACGATCTACCATAACACACAAGGGACAATCTCAGAACGAAGAACGTTCTAAGATTGTCATTTAGGGTAAAAAATCCTGTAGTTTGAACTATTGCATCAGGCAGTCAGATTCTTCTCTATTTAAATCTAATTATTACTGAAGGGCAATATACTATACAGACTTCATAATCTGCACTCTTTGGTTGAATGCAGTGCTTATTTCCACTTTGGCTTTATGTTTAGTTTTTATTCAAGTACATTTATTGTTAATGGAGACTGAGAATCTATTTTATTTTTGGTTGTTTTATTTATTTTGTGTATCAGTCCCAGTGTTAAGTGATCTTTTGAAAGTAAATCACATGTATTATTACGTAATTTCCATTAAATCAGTGTAAAAAGGTCTTCAAACAAAATTATTGTTTATCGCAATAATTTTTTGAGACAACTAATCGCCCAGGAAAATCTGTTATCGTGACAGGCCTAGTTGAATATGAAATAAAACACCGACTCATTAATGGTTCTACAAAATGTCCATTAGGCAGATATGAATTGATTGATGGATTTGTCTCTAACAAATTTAGCAAGACGATAAATTGTCCCAGAAATCATTGTGATAAACGATAGTTATTTTTGTGGCCATTTTCAAGTAATATAACAGTAGTAGCATAATGACGCAAAATCAATAAACGATAAATTCTAATGAACATTTAATGCTGGAACTGGAAGACATTTAAAATATCCCAAAAAATAAGCAAAACATCATCGCTCAGTTTTGTTGTTCAAAACTGAGCAAAGAACAAAGAATTAGTTTTTGGTAGAAACGGAGAGAAAGGAGAAAAATGATAGTTCATTTTAATTTGTCATTAGATTTATTGCGACAGGCATACTTGCCCAAAAAAAAAAAAAAAAATGTGTGAAGCTTCTCACTTAGCTTCAGAACGTTGGATGCTGACCGACCTACCCGGTTTATCTCCTGCAGGTGACGTGGGGAACTATTACTACGGTCAAGGCCATCCTATGAAGCCCCACAGGATCCGCATGACACACAACCTCCTCCTCAACTATGGACTCTACAGAAAAATGGAGATCTATGTGAGTCAAACAGAACAGAATCACCCCCCGTTTCATCACTCATCTGTACTGCACAACTAAAACATCAAAGTCTTAAGCAGCATTATTGGATTTTAAGAATTTCTTCCAATTTCTTTTTTTTTAAATTGAGTACAAATGTAGCACTCCAATAGAGCATACTTTGTTTTTCCTGCCAACTAGACATTTAACATAATTAACTTATGCAATTACTTTAGTTTCTTAAAGCTTTTTACATACTTACAAAAAAGATTATAAAATAATCACTTTCACACTTGTCCATGGATAAAAGTTAACATAAAGTTGTGCTAAATTATAGCCATAAAACTAAGTCACTGCTTCAGACAGCTCAAACATTTTCTGATGCTGATTTGAGTCCGTCATGGTGCTACTTTTTTTTTTAACCGATTCCTTTTATCCATTTTCAGGACTGTATGAATCTTTACCTCAGTCCTAATTAAATTTGTTTGTATTTCTCTTTCAGAGGCCACACAAAGCCAGCGCTGAAGAGATGACCAAGTACCACAGCGACGACTACATCAAGTTCCTGAAGTCCATCCGTCCAGACAACATGTCTGAGCACAGCAAACAGATGCAGAGATGTGCGTCTGGTTTTCTTCTCCACCGTCTCCTGCTGCTCGCCTCACGTTCACTCACAGTCAGATTCTCTGTTTTCTTCTTCTTCTTACAGTTAATGTCGGAGAGGACTGTCCAGTTTTTGACGGTCTGTTTGAGTTTTGCCAGCTCTCGACAGGTGGCTCAGTCGGTAAGTAATCTATCTCAGGTGATCCGTTTTCTTCTCGAAAGCACAGAATAGTCTTATGCATCATTTCTAGCTTGATTTGCAGATCACTATGCTGGGTGTAGGGAGTTTTTTTTTACCTTACATCTGGATCCAACTCTGTTTTTGTTTCAGCTGGAGCAGTGAAGCTGAACAAGCAGCAGACGGACATCGCCATAAACTGGGCTGGCGGACTCCACCATGCCAAGAAGTCTGAGGCGTCCGGCTTCTGCTACGTCAACGACATCGTCCTCGCCATCCTGGAGCTGCTGAAGTAAGTCCAACACCGCCCCGCAGTTTCTAGCTGCTGCTGTTTTTCATATTGTGTCAAGTAGGATATCGATGCAGAAACACAGCTGAATTGACTTGCAGCATTTCTTTTTTTTTAATAAATGAAAGTAATCAAATTGATTTGATTGCTCTGCACCAGTACAGCACTTAAATACACCAATAGCTCCCAAACTTTGGTTAAACATGTAAAAACAACATTTAAACACATCATGCTGGTGGCAGCATCATTTCCATCATGACAGAAAGCAGTCAGGTTTGACAAGAAGAAGCATGGAGCTAAAAACAATCCTGGAATGAAAAACTGCCAGTTGCTGCAAAAAAGAATTGAAATGGTTTGGGTCAAAGCATGTTCATGGATTAAGGGCCCAGTCAAAGTCCAGACGTAAATCCGACAGACCTAAATCCGACCTTGGCAAGAGTTGAAGACTTAGAAGTTGATCTTGAGCTGCTTTGCAAACAAAAATGACAGTTTTGTGGAACTACTGGTTTGTCAAACACATCAAATCCCAATCAAATAAAGTTATTAGATTTTCTGTCAGATTTGTGTTGTAATCTGACACTGTGAAAATTTAGGTTACTTGTTTTGGTGAGAGATGGAGGCCTGCAAGGATAATTTTACCTGGTGCTTAAAAGTTCTTGAATTTAACTGAGGTGTTTTTAAGGTCTGGAAAGTCCTTGATTTCTGTATGAAGTCAGAGAAAGTGCTTGATATCAAAACTGCACAGTTTTGCAATAAAGTGCAATCTAACGTTTAATTCAAAATATTATTGAATTATTTAAATTTCTTGAATAGTATTCACCCTTACCGATCATCTTAGATTAAGACTTAGACTATTTACATTCACCACAAACCTGCAAGCAGCAGGAAGGGTTTGAACTTTTACAAAGTCACTTCTTTGTGTGAAGTTGGAGCAGCATGTACCTGAACCTTGTACTTCCTCCAGATACCACCAGAGGGTGCTCTACATAGACATCGACATCCACCATGGCGACGGTGTCGAGGAGGCCTTCTACACCACAGACAGGGTCATGACCGTTTCCTTCCACAAATACGGGGAATACTTCCCCGGCACTGGAGATCTGAGGGTGAGTCTCAGAGCGTTTCTCCTGGAAAACATTCCAACACGTTAAAGACGTCATGGATATTAATCCAACCATTTCAACATGTGCAGGACATCGGAGCAGGAAAAGGCAAGTATTACGCCGTAAACTACCCTCTAAGAGACGGCATCGACGATGAGTCTTACGAAGCCATCTTCAAACCTGTGAGTTGTTTTGTGTGTTTAATATCTCTTAATTCCTCAAATGAAGTTCATATGTTTGATTAAACGTTGTTTTTGTGTTAGATTATGGCTAAAGTCATGGAGATGTACCAGCCCAGTGCTGTGGTTCTGCAGTGTGGAGCAGATTCTCTTTCTGGAGACCGACTGGGCTGCTTCAACCTCACCATCAAAGGTAAGACAACATCTCAAAGTCACGCTGACTTCCTGTAACATGGTAGAAGTTCAACTATGTGCGCGTCTCCTCTGAAAGGCCATGCCAAGTGCGTGGAGTACATCAAAAGCTTCAACCTCCCTCTGCTCATGCTGGGTGGAGGCGGCTACACCATCCGCAACGTCGCCCGCTGCTGGACCTTCGAGACGGCCGTGGCCCTGGACTCGTCCATCCCCAACGAGTTGCCCTACAACGATTACTTTGAATACTTCGGGCCCGACTTCAAGCTGCACATCAGCCCCTCCAACATGACCAACCAGAACACCAACGAGTATCTGGAGAAGATCAAGCAGCGGCTCTTCGAGAACCTGCGCATGCTGCCTCACGCCCCCGGTGTCCAGATGCAGGCCATCCCCGAGGACGCCCCGCACGCCGACAGCGGAGACGAGGACGAGGAGGACCCCGACAAACGCGTCTCCAGTAAGAGATTTAACACACAAGCGTTGGATTAGTTCGTTAGGGGGCGCTGATGAGGATCTGTATTGCAGTCCGGGCCCACGACAAGAGGATAGCCTGTGAGGAAGAGTTCTCAGACTCTGAGGACGAGGCTGAGGGACAAGGTGGCGGCCGCAGGAACGCAGCCAATCACAAAAAGGCAAAGAGAGTGAAGAAGGAGGAAGAGAAGGAAGGCGAGGAAAAGAAAGGTAAGAGCAGTCAGATTATCTTTCTACAATACACGATATAAACAGTAGAATCAATAGCAATTTGGCCTGAGATAAAGTTTAGCGGCTAACCGCAGCAATGATTGATGATGATGATAACGTAAGAGAGAAGAAACATGGCTGCCTTAAAGAACCCGGACCTGGTTCAGGTTAAAACTAGAACTTTCAGCATTAGTACATGTGATTGATCTGAAAAGCTGGACGTGTTCATATCACGTGATGCAGATGAATCACTTTACGTATTTGGACCTAAAAGCCTCTCTCTCCTGGACGGTTACCATGGCAGCACAGTCTTTGGCACAAAACGACTGAAAAGAAGAACAAGGAGTCAGACTGATGTGCTTTAAAGAACAGCGAAGAAAACAAGCTAGTACGTAGGCTACTTAATGCAGTGATGAATATGTATCAATATGTTGACTGGACAATGTCCGTCTTCACCACTGACTCGTTTTATTTCTGTTACCAATCCATACGATTCATTTATTTGACTTTTTTTTAGTGCATTTCTGTTATGATACAGATGTTAGACTCCATTGATGATGGACAATAACAATTCAGTGTGAGTTGGTGAAACTGGTTTTGGTTTGTCGTCTGAGATGATGACATCCTGTTTGTTTTCTAGAAGTGAAGGAGGAAGAGAAAGAGGAGGAGAAGATGGACACGTCTGGGTAAGAACCAGAATTAAAGCTTCTCCATATGAACAGCTTTACATGTTCATCCATTTCATTGATGATTTTGGTTGTGTGCGCTTCTTGTTTCCTTCTGATTTATCATATTTGGTTGAGTTTTATTTTAGATGTTATCTGACCATGTGGTGACATGCATGTACGTTTCAGTAGGTCACATTTCTGCACTAAAAATCACATTTATTGCTCTCTTGGCTTTCTGATTTTGTTTTTGAGTCAAAATTCTGAAACCGAACCAAAAATCAACACATAACTATATCCCAATATGTGATGTCTGATCAATATGTTTGTGTTTCAGACCAAAAGAGGAGATAAAGACAACTTGAAGTGATCCTGAGGGAGAAGTGTCCGTCCTGTTGTCCTCCGGCAACCAGAGGATCTTTTTGTATTCCTGTTTTCCTTCGTTCCTGCAGACAAACCTGCTTTCCATTGTTTACATGAGTTGAGCAGCAGGTGGATGGGATGGAGGTCAACCCCACCCACCTGCCACCCACCGTATGAGATGTAAAATTCCCTCCGACCCCTGTGAGCTCTTTGTGGACATCAGGTTTGCTGTGATAAGAAAACTGTTTCCATGCTGGGATTTCTGATTAAAGCCTGTCTGTGAGGCCTTCCTGTTTGTTTTTTTTTTTTTTTTATTTCTAAATATTTATGAAGCATCAAAAGCAGTTCCACCTCACCGTATACTCATTAGTGAATGCATGCATCATCTCACCTTCAGCATGTACATATTTCTTAGTCTCTGCCCCCCCCCCCCCCCCCCCCCCCCCCCCCCCCAGTCGCGCTCTTTAAGTTATTTTGAATCATGAATCCGGTCGGCTCATCCTCCCAGGAATATCTGCTCTGTGAACCCGTTTCCTTCCTGTGCTGTTTTTGTTTGCGAGTGAGTGGGACCCTCTCCAGAAGCTGATGTTGCTGAGCAAATGACTTCTTTAGAGATTTTGTATCATTTTACAGAAACGTAGAGAAAGCCAGTGAGGGGCTTTCAGAGTGTGGCTGGTTGGAGTTGTATCCTTGTGAAATGTGCATTATCATATCTTTGTTATACAAAAATAAAGAAAACTGGTCCAATTGTTGTCTTTTGTGTATGTGCTCACAATTACAAATATAGTACAGAAATATACTAGTTGCATAAGATTGTAAGAATAGACTGCTGTGTGGGGTCATTAAAGGCTAAAAGTTTTTTTTAGAACTGCACATAAAACTCATGCAATGGGTGTAAAAATCGAGTACATGCTACAAATAATTTTTTTTCTGCATCTATTAGTTTTGCCACAAATTCAAATAAATGTTCTGATTTTGCTCTTTGGCCCTTAAAACATTTACAATTTTCATATTTAAGAGTTTGGGCTTCAATTAGTCGAGATAAAATTTTGCTCCACATTTCCTGTTCTCCCCTGACTGCTGGTCGTTAGGTTATAGTTTAATGCTGCCACAACCTGATGTTGCTGACTGACGACCATGGCTCCTCGTCCAGCTAATATCCAAATAATCTATGGATGTCACAGGATTGGGGGAAAAACTGGATTAGTACTTTTAGTCACCAAGAAACTGATTTACATTCTGATTTCATCTTAAATTTGAAAGAAACTAAAACATGTTTATACATGTTCCACTGGTGATGACAAAAACTGAAACAGAACATCAAAAACCAGCCAAACCGTTTTGTCCTTGACCTTATTTTATTAAGATTTGTAGTTTACAAGTTAAATGTGATAACTGCTGCCAAACGTTAAAAAGTTTTGAATTCTAGTTCAGTACAAAGCACTGGAGACGAGTGATGTTTTCCTTTGACGGATCTGGATTGAGTCTGATGTTCGCTGAATGGGTTGCTTGGTTACGCCTCCAGCTCAAAGTCAAAGTAATGTGGGTCAAAGTAATGAATTCGTACGTATCCGTCTTCTCCTCCACTGCTGTAACTGTAACAGGAACATCAAGCCGTTTGTTACTGGGTTGGCTCTTGTTCGTCTGCGTTTTTAGAGAAAGTAGCGGAATTAGTCAGGCCGTACCTCTTGCCGTCAGGATGGAACGCCACACAGTTGATGGGGCCAAAATGACCTTTGACCCTCCCAAACTCCTCCTCGTATGCAGCATGGAAAAACCTAAGTGCAGGAAATCACACATGAAACCAATAACTCCTTCAAAAATAGAGATTTCTTCCTTCTATCAACTTTAAACATGAAAATAACTTCAGGCTCTCTCACCTCGCCTCAAACTTGCCGATCCTGGTGGAGGTTGTGGTGACGTCCATGGCTTCCTGCCCTCCTCCCATCACCACCTTCACAGAAACGCTCAGTCAGACACATCGCCGCGACAACAAGGAGACTGACCGTACTCCATAAGCGTCGTGTCTTACGTGATCCATGATGGGAGAGATGGCAGCAGAGTTTACAGGCCTGTCTGTCCTGAATGTCTTGATGTGATCCAGAGAGTTGGAGTCAAACAGCTAACAGAACAGAGACTCGGTGTTTAAATGTTCACTCATTAACGCGTTTAAACGTTTCACTGCGAGTCTCACTTTCGACGTGTTGTCCTTGGAGGCAGTGATCACCATGGTGAGATCGACGGACGACTGGATGTCGTTGATCTGCCTGGTGTGCTCCTTCGCCTTCTTCAGAATTTCGCCAGACTGGAAAAGATCGCGGCCCAGTTAGGACAAACCCCATCTCCACCAGGCATTTTCTCCCCTCTTTTTTTTTTTCTCTCTCTATTGCAAGTTTTATACCAAAACCATATTGTGATATACGTCGTTACCGCCACACATCACACTGGATGTCGCAATACGACTTTTAAGGCGTGTCCACAGTGGTGGGCAGAGCCGGCTGGAGTTGTGTCAGCGTCGAACCTTCGCACTGAACTGGTTGATCTCTCCGTTCTCGTGGCCTGCGATGACAAACTCCCCCAGAGGCCCCCACACCGCGCTGGTTATCTTGCACTCGCTGCAGGGGACGGACAGGTACGGATTGTTGTCCTCTGCAGACACACAAGTAGAAAGTGAAAATGATTTAAGTGCTTATTTAAAAAATGTGGATTCTTTCTCAGCAGTAAATACGGGACAAAAACCTTTTTTTTTTTTTCTTATTTTAAGCGACGTCAGTCTGGGAGCTCGGTATAAAGTACTGATGCTCCGCTCTAAATGGAAAAACTGGCAAGAGGACGACTGAAAACCCCATCAGCAAAGATATTTAACTAATTGAAAACAGCAAGGTGAAATTACGCAGAAAATCAAATGAATCTCACAACACTGTCTGTGTCAAATAATGCCAGGAAAATAAGAAACAAAGTCAAACGCAGGGGGCATTTAAATCAACAAACCCAAATCACGTAATCAAACCTGCCGGAGAGCAATGGTTCATTTTAATAGTCTCCTGCTTCCTGCATTCCTTCAGAACACATATAATGTATAAATATCCTTAGCTTTGAGGTATGCATGTCAGATCCTCCTTGAGGGCTGAGTAGGAAAACATAGCCGACTGTTTATCTGTACCCATCTGCTGTGGATCTCTCAGGTCGAAGAAGTTCAGGAAGCACTGGTAGCCCATCTGCTTGTCTGTGGAGAACATGATGATGTTGCCGCTGAAGTCGAAGCCGCACGTCCTGACGGCGGAGTTGGTGTTGAGCAGAGCCAACTGTTTACCTGCGGGGGAAACAGGCAGCGTGTTACAGAAGTAAAAGTTAAGTACCTTAACTTTTCTCTCAATTTTTGGGGGAGGGGTAACCAGAGAAGACGTCACACTCCTCCAGCGTTTCCTCATGTTAGCTTTCATCAACCAGGAGGAAACCTGGCTTACCCGTCTCACAATCCCATAGGCGACAACTGTTGTCTGCTGATCCCGTCAACACGTTCTTGGTGTCCCCTGAGGAGAGGTTAAGAAAGCAACACCACACGTCACATCCTGCGTACAGCCGGAACATGAACCGTCAGAGCCCACAGAGGCCCAGAGAAGTAGGTCCTGATGATGGAAGGATACAGTCGCAGTCGACACACCACACCGCTCCGGTGTGTCCATTGTAGGTGCCGAGCCTTTCTCCGTTCACAGAGTACCAAACGTTGGCCACCTGGAGCGAAACGTCACGTGAAATGAAGCGGCTGTATCCCGGAAGTTACGCGAACTCAGCACGGGTCTGGACTCACCGTGTCTTTGGCTACGGAGAACAGCAGGTCTCCTTCTCTGTTGTACTTTATCTGAGTGATGGACCTCTCATGGCCCTGCAGCAGAATGGGTTTCTGGGAACACAGGACTCCCGAGTTAGCATAAGAGCTAGCCTTTTACCGCAGGGTGTGTATTTAAGATAGACATGGTTCATTTAGATTTAAAAAAAAATTCCACTAAGCCTCAGCGGGACAACATCTGCCATTGCACAACTATAACTACTCCTACTAGCAGCTAGTATCCTAGCTAGCGTCAAAGCTAAGCTAATGCTAGCCGAGCTAAGGCTGGCAGATAGAGGATGAGAAAATAAGTAACTTAGTGTCGCAGTATGTTTCCTGGTAAACATACTCACCATGTTTGCCGGCTCTGCGCTGTCAGTCCGCTCGGTTTATTCACTGCGCGTCACGTCAACAGAGAAAAGATGAAACACTCGCGTGTGAAGCGCCGGAGCCTTGGCGGAAAAGGAAATAGACGTCACTCTTGTGTCGAAAAGCAACACGGTGCGCCCCCTACCGTCAACACCCGGGACAAAATAAGATAAGACAATAAAGTCAAGGACAGGATGGTCTGGCTGGTTTTTGATGTTTTGTTTCAGTTTTTGTCATCACCAGTTGTACAGGTGTTAACATCCATTTTGGTTTCTTTACAATTTAAGATTAAATGAGAATGTAAATCAGTTTCTTGGTGACTAAAAGTAATTCAAGTTTTTTCCCCCCAATCCTGACATACATATTTAGCTACCAGCTGGACTAGGAGCCATATTTGTCACACACAGTGAGCAACATTAGGTTGTGGCAGCATCAAAAAGATAACCTATGTAACAACCAGCAGTTAGGGAAGCATGTCAGCAAGTGAAGCAAACCCAGGCTGCTAAGGGTTCAATTCTTATTTGCTCCATGTTCTTAATTTCCCTCTATGCCCTTCTTCCTATCAAGTTGGACAAGTAAAGGCCACTATAGTGACAAAAAAAAAACAACAAAAAACCCTTTACATATGTTGTACTGTGGCTTAATACTTCCATACATATTAATTCTTGTGTGGAAATCTGGGGAAAGTTTTACAAACCTGTATACATGCTTCAGAGGAAAGCTGCAGGACTATAAATGCATCTTATAATTTAGTGTAACAAATTAAATATTTGTTACATTCCACACTTTAACATTTTATAATTTACTATGGCTCAGAACTGCTCTGACAATTTACTGCTCTTACAATGTGCACAAAGATGGACAACGGGGAACTGATGGGGGTGTCCTGCCAGACCGTCAGTTCCCCGAACTACAACAAAAAAAGCTTGTAAAACTGCACACAGGATTGGGAATTCCAATTCAGTCGGTTTTAAAAACATCAACCAGGCATCGATTAACTCAAACATACGCTGCTCTTTTATTGAACAAGAAAAATATACAGGGTCAGGTAAAAGTACTGCAAAAAAGACAAAAGGAAACATCTTTGGTTCCTTCTTATGCCCAAATGAAGTGGATCACAATGAATACGTCCTTGTGGGATGACGGAAGAAAGGAAGCTTAGACATTTCTGGTTTTGTTGTCACCACTTTCCCATAGCTACATATTCATAATCATTAGTCATACAGATGAGAAATTGGCATGTTAGGGAATGAAACATTTCAGAAGTAAAAAAACCAAAACATTACTCCATCCCCCCCATTTGGCTCAGTCAGTGCACCTTTCAAAAGCATCAGAAAGATGCAAACAATAACTCAAACCCAGACGACGAGAGCAGCTCTACGTTAAGAGTTTTAAAGTATATACATAAATAAATGAATATACATTCAAGCTAAGTGCTGGTCAGTTGAGACTGCCTTAGAATAAAACCAAGATGCAAGCGTTGCATAGAGGTACTTGAACATTCTCTTGATTGAAACCTGATTTAGCTACTGCCGTCATCAGTGTGGAACAGACAAGCAGAACAAACATCCCAGATGCAGAAATGGCAGATTTAGTTCAATAGACTCCAAAGTGATTTTCACATATTCTAAATAAAACAGACTGAGAGCAGGTTCAATGAGGAGAGAAGAGGGGGAGAGGGCATAGCAAGCATCAGAGGGGATCGCTTCAAAAAATGGAGTGGAAAATCTGATTTTTAAATTTAAGGGGGAGAAAAAAAAACCCAAACCAAAACAAAACAAACAAAAAAAATCAATAAATACAAATCTATGGAGCCAGAAACAAAAGTAAAGATGTAGCAGCCAGGACAAAAGAAACAGGGGAATGAGAAGAGAGCAAACAAAAAGAAAAATGAAATCAGAACAAAAATGAAAAGTTTCATGAAGTCAGGAAAAAAGTGAAAATTAAATGGAAAAAGAATAAGCACCGATCTGTGGCGCTAGCAAAATCTTAAATAATGAAAAACAGGAATGTGACAAAATTGGAAAACAGGGTACAAGAAAAAAAACGTAACAAAAGGAATGCAATCAGGAAATTACAATGGAGTATAAGGGCCACACTAATGATAGAATAAAGTCACAATAATATGAGAATAAAGTTGAAATAATGACAAATTCTATTGTCATAATTTTAATATTTTTTAATTTTCTTAACGTGACCCTAATACTCTGTTGTAAAAAAGAAACAGGCCAGTGTAAAAAAAAAAAAAAAAAAAAAAAACAGCAACAGAATGCAGCATCCAGAGCTTCCCAGAAAGAAAAGTAAAAATGTAAGTGCCCAGAAAGAAAAAGAACCCATGAAATTTCCCTTATTAATTCTATAGAATCTTCAGCATGTTCCAGGTTAGAGATGTTGTGACCCACAAATAAAAAGTAAGTCAATGTGGTGTCTTTAATCATGTAACCCTTTCCATACACCATCACTAAGACAAAACCCTGAACACATTCCACACAGGCTAACAACCTCTTCTCTCCAACAACCAGTTTGACCCAAACAGCTCCTTAAGCCCTGCTCTAGTCGGCATATTAACACCAGCTGCACATGTTCACTTCCTAAAGCTTGAAGTGAATCACGAGTTTCTACTGTCAATCCTCTCAGAGGAACTGCTGAGTCTGGAGAGTCGACGCATCAGAGTGGAAAGACACGAGCTAACCGCGCTGCTAGAAGCTGACTGTTGTCATTCCAGGAGAGGAGCCGCAGCTTGCAGGCTGGTGGTTTGAATGTGGAGGGGGGAAAGGAGGAAGCGGCGGGTGGCCCCTGCTTCATTCCAGCGCAGGAACAGGCGGTGGGGGCCCCACCTCTTCCTGCGGGGCTTCCGTGTCCGGCCGCGGGCCGCAGTGACAGGAAGTGGAGTCTGCGACGGGACAGCTGCTGGGCTCCGGCAGAGAGTCTGTGGGAGGGGGGGAAGGTGAGTCGGTCCCGGGGTCGGAGGCGGGGGCCCCTCCGGCGCCGCTGTCCCCGTTCAGGTTCTGGACCTTCTTCTTCAGCTCGTTTCGTTCCACTTTGAGCGCCCGCCGCAGCTTGTCGAGCCGCTGGACCTTACCCTGAAGCGCCTCGAAGTCCCGGTCCCGCACGGCTTTCTGGAGACATTCACAGAAAACCATTCGTCAACCGGACAACATCCAATGCTGTACTTTCAACGTCTCTAGGATATCTGTGTGAAATCAGGATATTCAGACATGAATTTTCTTCATGTAAATAAACAATGTAGTGCTGCCCGTGTATTTTGGGTCATTATTGTGCTGAAATTGATCATTCAATTCAAATCTAAGTGTTTTCACACCTGACAGTCCGGTACACTCGGTTCACTTGGGGGAACAAAACTGCAACATTTGTCACATTTTCAGGTGCACTGTGTCAAATGAACGAAACCCTTTAAAAAAAATCTGTTCCCCTCCTCGCCTGTGAGGACGCTGCACCAATCACCGCTGAAGGAAGCGACACAAAAACCCCAGAAGGCGACAATGAGCACGACTTCCTTCTTTACAAAATATTTTTAAAAATGGAGTGGCTTCAAGCATTAGTGGTTGTAGGATTTGTCTTTCATTGTTGGTAAAAGACCACAAGCCATTTCTCCTGCTGGAGCTAGACTCTCATGTTTGTTTTGGTTATATTTACCCAGAATGCCTTGCGCGATAGTTCGCTTCCTGCTTTTGGAGTGGTTTACGGTCTGCTTGGCATTCACATATGCATTTGAACCACACCAGGGTTCACTTCAACTGAATCGAGAGCCGTGTTTTTAGGTTTACCAGAGTTTGCTTTATTACTCTGCATCGTTCAAATACCCACTCGCCCCTCCCCAAACGAACCGGACTTTCTCCACAAACTAACTGGGGTTTGATTAAAGCGGGCAAACAATTTCTGACAGGCAGCTTCCAGAAGTACGTCAAAACCTTCCACAAACATTATCTGAACTATTTATTGCTTCATTTTCAATATAATTGCAGTCATAAAAAGAGTTGTACCTCCTCAGCCATCTCCAGCAGAGCCTTGTTGCTGCTCTCCCACCTGGAGCGGTACATCGCCGTCTCCTTCTCCAGCTTCTTGATCTTTTTAGTCATCTGTGTGCAAGACGAAAACAAAGAGTGACGTTGGAGAATAGTGGGAAAGACTCCAGTAACATCTCCGCTGAGGTTCCACACCTTTTCCATCTCTTGCTTAAAGGTGGTGAAGACTTCGTTGCTCTTAGACAGCGTGGTCTGGAACTCCTCAAACTTCTCCGTGTACAGCGACAGCTAAGAAGACAAGGCAGCCATAGTTATGGAGCTGAATTCAGGGTTTGCACCGTTTTTACACAGCAAAATTTAAGAACATTTTCCAAGAACTTAGAAGTAAGTTCTAAAATATGACAAAATACTTTAGGCACCTGACTGTTTAACGAAACACTAATTTTACACAAAAAAACCCTCCCACTTTTAATACCATCACCACAACATCTCCTCTATTAACCCTTCAACAACGTTTTTACCAGCGTTTCACTGGGAAGTAGCTCGTATGGTGAGCTCAGCTGAAGTGCAGTTATGCCAGGTGTTTGCTAATTACTGCTGGCTAGTCTGAAGGAGCTGAGAAGAGGGTATTGGAAATGGCAGCTCTGAAGAGGAACTGCGTCTCGAAGGCGGAGCTAGGTTCACTCATACACATCTGAATGGTTGCCATGAGAGAGTAAAGGATTTACTGCATGAAATAATCAAATCAACACTACATATATGTTTTTGATGAGGGAATAACATCATAATATGATATGCCTCTCAAAGAAAAACACTAAAAAAGTATTGGTATCAGTATTCACTTGGCATCTGATTGATATCTTTACTGTTTACGGCAATCAGACAAGTTGGAGGTAGAAAGTTGAGGCCAAACCTGCTGTTTGAGGTGAACCTCTTGCTGCTTCATCAACTCGCATATCCTCTGAGATTCCACGGCTTCCTTCAGCAGCTGCACATGTAAAGCAAATCGTAAACGCCGAGTTCTTTCAACACCATGAACAGACGCATATTTAGTTTCTCCAAAACGGCGCTCACAAAGTCTTTCTCCCGGTCGTGGTGTTCTTCCGACTCCTTCAGCATCTCCTGCGCCTGGTGCAGCTTGGCGTCCACCAGCTGCTGCTGCAGGTCTTTGTGCTTCACCACTTTGTCTATGTGCTGTTTGTCAGGCCACACACACACACACACACACACACACACACACACACACACACACACACACACACACACACACACACACACACACACACACACACACACACACACAGAGTTCTATAGTGAATAAAAGGTGGTTTAAAACAGCGGGACGCAGACGTGAAGAGGAGAGGTCCTCACCTCCTCCCGCAGCTTGTACTGCTCATAGAGCTTCTTGAGTTTCTCGGCCAGCTCGGCGTTCTCCTGCCGCAGGCTGGCGTTCCTCTCGTTGTGCTGCTCCATCTGAGCCTGGATGTCGTTCAGCGTCGCCTGGAAGTGGGACGTCACCTCCTTCCTCTTCTCCTCCTCCAGTCGGGTCCTCTGGATCCCTTCCTCCTGCATGGGGGGGAAAGGGAGTCAAAATTCAATAAATAATGAATTAAAATGAGCTCGATGAGTTCTGTCCTCGAGATTTCTTTCTTCATAATCCATTTTTGGTTCTGTGTGGGGTTTTTGTATTTCTGTTTTATTTAACATTTTGTCTTATTTTGGGTATTTAAAATGGCTTCCAGGTCCAGTGTTAACTGTTTTTCCGCAAAAGTATTGATTTTATCAGTCTATAAAAAGGCAAACCACAAACTCCAGCTCTCTGCGCCTACAAGGCGGAGCTGGGTCCACTCAGGTCTAGCTCCACCTGAGTTAAAGGCAACCATTAATCAGCTGAATGGTTGCCGTGGAGATTCAAGGATTTCTCAAGCATGCATGAAGGAATCAAACCAGGACTAAGCATGTTTTTTTTTGCTTTGGACAGATGTAGTTTTGTAAACATTTTAAAAGACACCATCACCTTAACATAGGCTTCTCAAAATGAGTTTTTCTACATTTTTATTTTGTTACTGTATTTCTTCTTTACAAAATTCTATTTGTTATTTTTGTATCTCATTTGTTTTATGGGGCGACGGATGAAAATGAGCATTTTGGTGTATTTATGACACCAAAATAAGCACGCTACCATTTAATAAATACAATACTGCCATTATCAATGTATTACTTGAAAATGGTCTCAAAACATCAATACTATCATTTATACCAATCATTTCAGGGACAAGTTATTGCCACAGGTCTGGAGTAACTCCTGCTGAGCTGATTTAAAGCGGTGGTTTGGCACCTTGAGCGTGCGGTTGTGTCTCTGCAGTTCTCTGCAGAGGCTCTCCAGCTTGCTGCGGGCCAGGATGGCCTTGCTGTGCTCATTCCTCAGGTTGTCCTTCTCCTGCACCAGCTGGCTCTGCTTCTTCTGCAGCACCCTCATCTGTTTCTGGGTGGTACGATGCTCTTCCACCTAAAAAGACGGATTAAAAAAAGTATATGTACTTATATATATTTTGGGTTAATTCATGTGGCAAATGTTTAAAAACACAGATGCTATTTAATCAATTCCTCCAGGATTTTACGATTGTTTTTCCTGATTTTACTCAAAGTCAGAATGACTGATTTTGCGGAGCTACTTTAGAAATACTTGCTTGCCCAAGGAGGCCAGTGCCTGCAAACAAGAGCGTCGCTTGCTGTATGCAAGCTAGCGTGATGCAAAAAAGCTGGTACTGCCAAAATACTGAGCAAAGGCTGTCAATGCTCTGTAAACATGTGATTTCTAATGCAAATATTTTGTTCATTTTGAATATGTTCGCAACAACCAAAAATATTGAGGAAGTTTGTATGCATTTTCAAGGAAAAGTTGATTTAATGTATCTTAGAACAAGGCAGACAGTGAAGTCCTGTCAGTTCTCCCTGGATATACAGTATTAACTGCAGATTACACGTCTGCAAACAGAACCTGATGTTTATGTGTATTATTTCTTTATTTTTAATATTAGGAGAGCACCGCTAAGCAGTAGAGTCACTCACCAGGTCGGCATACTTTTTGCAGAGGCCTGCCAGTTTTTCCTCAGGCGTGCTCAGAGTGTTCAGAGTCTGCATGAGGAGCGTGATCTCTTTGCCTGCGTCACACAAACATCAACTCAACTGAAACAAAAAAAAAACACTGACGATCGGCTGAAAGAACTCAGTTTGAGGCGGTCTCTTTCCTACCGAGACCCTTCACTTTCTTCTTCTCCTGAGTCTTCTTCGGCTGCTCCTTCTCTGCACCGTTGACTTTGCCCTCCTCGGATTTGTAGTCTTCCTTCTCTCCAGTCAACCCGTTGAGCACCGGGCTGTGTGACTGGCCGTTGAGCAAGGCACCAGCGTCGTCCTGGAGGCTTTCCCGGCAGTAGGTGCTCAGGATGTCCTCCAGCTGCCGGCTCAGCTCCTCCGCCATGTCACACTGAGACTCTGCAACTGGACACGGCAATGGAGATAAATAAAAAACTAATAATTTTAAAAGGACGCGTTTTTTAGTCAACCGGTAACTATGGCAACCTTCAACAATTTCTACATTGAAACTACTGACCTGCACTGCCACCCTCTTTGGTTTGTGGAGGGGTTTTTGCGCGTGGGCTTCGTGATTCGGCCCGGTCGGGGCCGTTGCTGTCCGGGCCGTCTGCAGTCGCGTGAGCCGCAGGTGGAGCCGCCTCGGAGACTTCACCTGTAGGTGGGGAATCCTCACCAGCAGGACTGCCGGGAGACTCTTCCGCGTCTTGTTTTTTCATGTCTAAACCGAGAAAACGAAGCTGTAACAACAAAAAAATAACCTCGCAAACTTTTGAACTACAGTCAAGACTGTCTCGGTGAGAGCATTTTGTCGAGGCTCAACTGCTTCGAAGCGAAAACACAACAAACCGTCAACATTTTCACATTTAACTTCGTATAAACTTTTAAGCATTTTTTTTTTTTGCCAAGCTAAAAAAAAAAAAGTCCAAGTAGGATTATGCCTGAGTAATTCCAAGCAGGAGTTTTCAGTTTCCATTTCAGCACAGGCTAACCCTGGTTAGCAGCTACATGAAGCTCAAACTGCAACCAGAGCAGCGTTAGCTTGAGACCGGAGCCGGAGACGTTTTAAAAACAACCGCCATAAACATGGAGGGCTCTGTGTGCGTCAACACTGTCACACACCGTTTCTTACTAGAAGACTCCAGAGAGAAACTTGCCAGCGTTATCTGTGAAGAACGAGGCTTCGTTACCAGCTTGAGGTTTTGTTGGAAAATCTAACTTCCGGTCATAACTTTGGATTTCTGTTCTTCGTCGTACAGTAACAACGCGGTTCAAGGTTCAACGGGCTGCTTGGCGCCCTCTACAGGGTTCATTGAATTATGCTCTAAATAATCAACGCAGTTAAAGAGGGTAAAAAAAAGAGAAGAAAATCCTCACCTACTCATGTTTATTTGAAAACAAGTTTCAGTAGTTTGTGAAAATTAAATGAATAAAATCTGCCCTCCATGAACAGAAACGTTCACAACTTTGGTTGGAAACATTAAAGACCTGAGAAATGTTTTTAAATATAAAAGGTGAAGTTGTTACATGTTTTCAATGTTATATTTGCAGAAATAGCATACCATAAATTTTGCGCCTTTTATTGAAAAATGGCTTCTTGTTCTAAAGCCCAAAAATTACATATAATTAAATAATGATAATAATAAAAAAACCATCAAGCCCAAAGGGAACCTAGATGTTTTTGTAACTCGCAGTGTAATATCTAAGGTTCTTCAAAACGCTTGTGTGCAGGAAAGATCTTCAGCAAAAAATCTAGTTGATGAATGAAAACAATACTAACACCTGTGTCATAGTGTATCCCCTGAAGAAATTGAAGGTATTGGCAATTTTACTGTGGGCCGCGGGGGGACGATGAGTGGGGAGGTCACGTGACAATTTTCAATTCTTCCACACATAGAAACTGAAATTTTGCGAAGTAGCTCAACAGTGAAACTAGATGGAGAGCGTCTTTTGACATGCATTTTTACTATCAATTTGAATTAGATCTGGACTTTCCCTGGGCCATTCTGATACATACATGCACCTAAATCTCAGGTCTACTTGCCCAAAATGTAGTAGCATGTCTCTCCATGGATCCAGTTTCCTGTTTCTGTCACAACTCGCACACAAGAACAAATTACATCCATGAAAGGGTTGAAACATAACTTTATTTGTTTTGTACAGTATTTCCTCTGAACAATGTTAAATTCAATACAGTTTCTTTACATTTCTAATATTGTTGCAGATTCCTGTATGCGCTGTTTTTTTTATATTTTATTATTTTCTCTTCCATGTTTATGTTTGTGTATCATGTTCAGCTGAAGTGTGGTTAGGTTCTCGTCACTCATTCATACCGTCGGTAAAGTCCAGTCGAGTCACAGTATACAACATGGTTAATTTGGAGCGATAAAGAAAAGTACTGACCCGGAAAAAAAAAAAGAAGAGGAAAATAAATAGACAGAAATGAGAGGACCAGAGCAGAGGATGCATCAGGACTGGTTAGTGATGGCATACAAATAGGATTTTACAAACGAGGAGTATTGTAAACATGTGTAGCATAGGCGTCGAGCCGAGCCGCTGCGCTAGATTTTCATAAAGACACCAAAAGCGTCCAGGACGGAAGACAAGGTGTGAATTTTTTTTTCTTTTTTCTTTGAAGCGGTTTTTATTTATCATTTTAAACTCACTCGCATGTTAAGTAACAAGTTTTCTGATCATGCAGCCCAACTGAAACAATCAAATATCCCAAAAATGATATAAATCACCACATCTTGACCAGGGAAAGAAGAGAAGCAGAAAGGCTTTTGGATACTCACCTCTTCTTCGTCTTTTTCTTCTTATTATTATTTTTACTACGCTTTATTCATCCTGTTACAAGTTCTACTGAGGCTTTTTTTCTCCACTTCTCAGAAGTGATCAGAATTGTATTTGAATCCCTGTCAATGTATCAGAACATACATAGTTTAAATTATAACACTTTAATGTAAATCGCTGCACTTTGTTTTGTTTTTTTCCTTAATCTCCACATTTTAATATTTAAGGAAAAAAAAACCAAAACAACTAAACATCAAGAGTTTCCCTCTGACCTCAAGTCACGTGAGATCAGGTTTGTATCTCGTCTCTGAGATTTAAATGCAGTCTTCGGAATTAAGATTCAACTGAGCTTAAATTTGGGAGAGAAAAAAACGGAAGAAAAGAAGAACCTTTTCTCTCAGGGAGGGACTGAAAATGCTGCCATGAGGATGACAAAACTTTGGTAAACTAACTGGCAGTGAGATTGGTGCCTGCATCAGTCTGCTGTGATGGTCATTTCTCTGTATGTATGTGCATCTACTGCAGCTATTTTCTACTTTTCGTACAGTGAACGGGGGCCTCGGCTTGAGCTAAATGCTAAACACCGGGTCTCAACAGAAACTGGTGGCGCAATTCCGAACAGCCGTGCAGCAGCTGAGCTACACGCGGCGAAAACCACAACAAGAGTTGTAGAGAACATCCCGTCAATGAAAAACATCAGTTTTATAGAGTCAAGTCAGTCCCCCACCCAACCACCCCCTCCCAAAACCCAACCCAGAGAATTAGACATCATTGTTAAAGAATGCCACCTTAAGAAACAATGGCAAATAATGTAACTTGAAAGATAAGGAAAATAGAGCAGCAATGGTTTGCACAAAAAACATGTGCACATTCAAGTAAATAAAGATATAAAGAAATAATCTACAAGTCAAAGACAGAAACGCAAGATCCTCCAGTCTTTGTTGGTCGGATTGGCACTTTAGTGAGCAGGAGTGCATTTTGATTTTTAAGAAATATAAACTTTTTTTTCCCTCTCTCTCCCTCTCTCCTTGATGCAATGATTTTTTTTCTTTAATATATTTATATTTATTTATATATATTGCAATTCTGGCATTATATTTGTAGGCCAAGCACAGAATTGGCCAGGAAACCGAAGACTCCAGGGTCTAAATGCTGCTCTACACTTCTGTCGGGCAGAGGTAAGATGTTGTTGCTTAATTCATGATTCGACTTCTCACGTCGACCGGGCGCACTCGTATTCTGCGGATAAAACTCGGCACAGAGTCACCTGTTAGATCATGTTTAACACATCTTGCAGAATGGTGCTTAACGTGGTAAAAGGCAGATGAGAAACAGCAGTCAGAGGTTCACTTTGAATAATTATGCGCACAAATGTCACATTAATTTGGGGGGTTTTAATGCCTTTGAAGGATTGCTTGACCAGGCTGGGATGATAATACCCACAACTTGGATTCATTTTAAATTGGAATTTATTGTGGATTTTCTGTCCAGGCAGGTTCATGATTACACATACCCGCTTCCACCGGTATACTTCTTTAAAAAGATAACTGAACAAGATGCAAGTCAGATGACTTGTCTGGGCAGAGATAGTAATTTTCAATGACCGATGCTAATGTTTACACTGGGTAACCAAGAAAGATGCAAGTGTTTCTCAGCTAACCAAGACTGTTCCATCTAGCTTGAATTCCATCTTCAAGCTAGATGGAATTAGCTGACCCGGATGAGCAAAATTCACTGCCAGGAAAACAGAAAAATTGGATAAAAAAGGGACCTTCAAATATTCTGTCAGTTATGCCAGAATGTTGTTAATGGCGACAAAAGGCATGTAGTTTTTCTGCAGCTCGCTAAAGCTAAGTTAGCCAAGTCCAAAGGGGAGCAAAGGCAGGGAGGTATATGTATATATTTGAGCTTCCAGGTACAATTCAGGCTGCGTCGATTACACAAGAATTTAGAGTCATTCCACAACTCAAAAGCATTAAAAAGCCCCAGATTAATACAACACATCCACAGTGAATGGATGAAAACCTCCAATTGCAACTATAGATGATACAAAAATTGTTTACCACTTTGGGATTCCAAGAAAAGTCAGAATAATCCTCAGAAGATTGTTTTATTTGGTTACTTTAAAGAAACCTGATTGTGTTCATCTTCCATACATTTGAATGCTTCAGTAATCCACAGAACAGCAGCGGTTCCCCTTTCATCCTCCCGACTCTGATTAGGACATATTTTTGATAGTTAATAGACCTACTCCCTCACACAGCGCCTGTCAGTCAAAACTCACACGAGCACACTTCTACTTCATCTACAGCGCCTCAACACTGACCAGAGACTGAGCAGAAACACAGCCAGTCCCTGGTCAGCGTCAACTCAGCTAATCTCAACCATCAGAAGTCCTGTGGCTAGAAACAACGACACGCTTCCATAGCAATAAGCAACTCTGCATTTGACCATTTCATTCAACAAAATATTTACTACAGGAGAAATGGGAGCAAAAGAAAGTTTGTGCTCAAACACAAACATTTTATTACTCCTTTCCCCCCCCCTTCTTCTTAATGGAAGCTAGTTTTTGTTTCTAGTCACTCATCTGTGTTTCAGCTGGTGTTGTATGCAAGTGTGCATGAAGTGTACGCAGAGATATACATTAATGCAAATACATCAAAATCCAAATATACTTCTATTTTGATACTTGAACTTTTGTTGCAGTTAGGCTTGTCACTTATCTTCAGAGCTATCTTTCAACCCTCCAGCTGTTATTAGACCCACACAGAAGCAGCAGAATTGTCCTGGCTGGGCAGAGGAAGAGGCTATTTACATGAACAAAACACCCACACGTAAGCACAACTGTCCCATGCAAAAAGTCGTTAGCGGTTGTCATCTCCATTCCTCAAAGATATAGTGATATCGAACGCCAGAGGCTATTAATCAACTCTACCACTAAAGAAAACACCACCGTGGTCACTAAACTATCACTATTCACACCACCTAAAGTTATCGTGTTAGAGTCCAGCTTCTTCTTTAAGCCCCGTGTGTTGCTTTACAAGGTACGTTTCGCCTCTCTGTACCAACAGGTTGCGCTTGGCGAGGAATCCTCCGTGGCTGCAGGCAGGGTGGTAGAATACCATGCAGAGACCCCCACCATAGGGCCCGACTGCCAAGCAGAAACCCTTTTACACTGCAGGGGGCCGGGAGGTGGGGTTCAGTTGAACCACTAAACTATAACATTTCCTCTGCTGCAGGAGGTTTTTCCACCTTCTTTTTAAATTCAGCCAGAAGGAAAAACAAGTTCAGTTTGCTGCAAGTGCAGCAGGCTCTGCTCCACCTTGACCCCCCTGAACTAGGCCTTGTTTAATAGATTACTTCATAATTCAAATGTTATTAACACAGCAAACAATGAATATAAGGATATTTAAATATCCCGCCCTCGAAAAAAAAAAAAAAAAAAAAAGTGGATTTTTTTTTTCCA